AAGCTTTCAACTTCTAGCCAATCGGCTATTCCATGGTGAGGACGTTTGAGTAGGAGAGATGTAAATCTTTCCCATGCTTCAAACAATGGTTCATCCTCCTCTTGACGGAACATAGTGATCTCACTTCTCATCAAAGCCGTTTTACAAGGGGGAATGTTCCTTGCAAAGAACTTGTTGCATAGATCATCCCATGAGGTGATTCAGTGATGTGGTTGATTATTAAACCAGTTCTTTGTCGCTCCATTCAAGGTAAATGGAAATAACCTTAGTCGGATAGCCTCTTGAGGAACCCCATTCACTTTTATTCCATCCGTCAACTCATAAAATGACTTGACATGCGCACGTGCATCTTCACTTATCATCCCATTGAATTGAACCGCACTTTGAAGCATCGATATTGTGCCCGACTTGATCTCATAATCATTGTTGGGTAACGTCGGATGAAGAATAGGTGATTGAACATTGCCCACACTTGACCTACAGTAAGAACCCATTGTTCTTGGCCTCGGTGGTACTTAATCTTGATGTTCCGCCATTGGTGGAGGTTGAGGTCTTGCAACTCTTCTTAGATCCGAAGGGTTCCTCGATTTCAAAATCAAGAGGTACTTCTACAAAACACAACCTCAACAACCCGTGACGTACAATAGGGGCAAATAACAATACAAACAAGCACATAAATATGAAACAAAATACGAAACGAAAGCACAACACAAAACAAAACGAAATAAATCAACTACACAAACACAACACAAAACAAACAACTAAAGCAAGATAAAAACTAACTAACAACTTAATGATTTTCTACTAGTTACCAATGTTCCGCGACAACGGCGCCAAAAATCTTGATCCCTTGAATCCGTGCATGTTATTGTCAGTAGTTTGAACGTATCAACAACTATCCCATCCTAAGCCAAGTTTAACCTAGGACGACATTGTCGTACAGTGGTAATCAAGGTCATATTCTACTTGGATCCTGGTACTCTAGTCTACTTCCCACCTTGTTGTTAATTAGGTAATCGGTTTTTGAGATTTTGAGTGGAGGAAATGAGGAAAAACTAGTCTAGAGGTTGACCAAATCTAAAGCAAGTACTTCGGGGAACTAATCCTCCCCCTAGCTTAGGGATACTATGCAAGTCAATATACCTAGGGTTATAGAATGTGGCGAGTTAGCTCTTTTCCGTGGGCCTTCGCCGATATACACACGCCTCTGAGTACGCCTCTCCTAAAGCCATGTTTCATTCACCTCGGCCTAGGATATCGTATATGGGGCATTAAGCTTATGGCTCATCTCAACGGACACTATCCACCGTCCACACCGACGTTTCATCCCAGATTTCATCTAGGAAGGCAACCTATAGCAGGGGCTCGGTTAGCTCGACCACTATAGGCCCCCCTTTCACTCATCTAACCTAAACTCTCCAGATGGCGCATACCCGTCTAACCCTAGAACTATATACACAGCGCAGTAGCATAAAGCAGGCTAATAGTGAAGGTTGGGGCCAGTTGCCCAAGCGTCATCATTTAGGAAAGAGAGACATTAAGAATCTACTAGACAAACACATTCATTCATTCAAACCCTAAAATATTCATAAATACATAATAAACCCTAAAACTAGGGTTTGGTGTTTTGAACCCCTAGTACCTAAGAGGACTACTCCATAAAGGAGAGAAGAAGATACATGGTAGAAATAGAAGAAGACTTCAAGTTGGGGAAGATCCTCCTTGCTCCTAACTCCTCCTTCTTCTCCTTCTCTTATTCTTCTCCCTTCAACTTCTCTCTCTTCTCTCTTTCTCTAGATCCAGAAATTTTATCCAAAATCAGCACTCCTAAAATAGAGAAAGGGGTCTTCTATTTATAGGCATTATGGACTCGGGGAAGTTCGCGGCCTGAGGCTTTAGATCGCGGGCGGGATCTTCTGAGGATAGGCCGCGATCTCAAACGACTTCGTCATGGCCTTCTAAAGGGGGAAGATCGCGGGCTAACTTCGCGGTCGCGATCCTCGAGTCGTGACTGTTAACTTCCTCGCGGGCAAAGTGAACATTGGTCGTGATGCGACTGGGGAAACTCTCTGCTTCTCCAAGGCTCCTTCCACGCAAAGTTCCCGCCCTGGGCCACTACGGGAAAAATGACATTTTGCAACACCTACTCTGCAACACTATTTGAAAGTGTCGTGTAATGTAGGCTACTCCAACACATATATTTTGTGTTGCTTAATTGAGCACTTTAGGCAACATCATTAATATTTTGTTGCATTTAATCTTATTAGGCAACACTTATGGATCACAATTACAATTTGTTGCATATTCCTTTACATAAGGCGACACTAGAAAAAATTCCCCTCTTTCCCGTGAAAGATAACGCAAAATTCCCCTCTTTTTCGGTTGAAATAATTAAATTTTCCCCTTAATTATTTTTTAAGCCCGCCCTGATTTGTTACTTAAGTGAATAAGTTTCCCTGATTCTTGCACATCAATTTATAATAAAAATCTCACGATAAAAGTTTCCCCAAATTCCACAAAACCCTAAGGGATGCTATTCATCTCCCTTACAGCGCTTTCGTACTCTCCTATCTCGATTACCGAACTCCAACCTCCATACTTCCTCGTCATCTCTCTATGAAGTTGTGACCGCAACCATGCATGGTGGTAGCTCATTCGCATCACAGAAGTTAAGCGTTAATTTTGTTGCAACCCTTCAAATCGCGTTCGAACAACCAACCCTTCCGATTGTCATCTCCTCTGCAGACTCCTCTTTAACCGAGGTAGGATTTTTTTCCATTGTCATTTCAATTTCCTATTTTGGGCGAATGTATTAACCACCCTAACACAACTTTATTCTTTGATGCTTCTGGTTTTAGGGATTTCCGAAGGATTCCGTGTCAAACCCTTGTTGCACGGCTTTCTACACAACATTGTTGTTTGTGTTTCTTTGTAGCTAGGTTTTTGTCTCAATTTACCCATGGAAGCATATTGATTTTTTGCTTCTTGTTGTCTCGCTAGGTAAGATTACTTGTTTTCATTTACTCTATCGATTCTACAGTTTGCAACTGCGGATTGATTGTTCACATGCTTAGACACAGTAGAGACATTTGAGCTCTTTTTTTCTCCAATCAACGAAGTGGGGCAAGGGAAGTTTCATATCCTGTTAACTCACCATTGTTCTAAATTGCTAAGTCATGTTATGGATTATTGGTTGATAATAGTGGATATTATAGAAAGAAAATGGGAGTGGATAAACCAACTCCGGGCAAGCCATAACAACCACTAGGTTTTGAATTTTTTCAAGCTTATTGGATAATATGGGGTACATTTATAGGGTTCCCTCTCTTACTTGATAGCTACCATATGACGAGATGTTCTTCTTTTAAGTTCCAGAGTCTTATTGTTATAGTTTGATTGATTGATTCTATATCTCACTACAATCTGCAGCTTCTTCTTTGGCAAGTGATGTTTGTCTTAAATGGTAAGGCATATAATAAAGCAAATGAGAGATCACTCGAAGATGAAAAAGGATCAAGAAGGCGAAGTCACCAGAGGAAGCAAGGCATTCAAGAATAGTTATATATGATTTTGTATAGCTTAGGAATAACATATTTGTATGTATTCATATATAGCTTTAGCACATATGTGTAAGTAGTTTTGGCAGTAAATTAATCTTGGGATTTTATGTAATATTTCGTATAATATGAAATCCTCATTGATTTTGTTCGACTGTGATAAATATCACCATTACAAATACTTTCATGATGAAAAAACGATTGCTAAAAGTATATAATGCTCGTAACCAAAAATATTTGTCACTAATGCTATTCCATATGTGACTATAATTTTGTCACAAAAGTTATATGCTCGTGATAAAATTGAAGTTGTGACATGTGGTATATATTTGATGTCGGTGTCAACTTGTCACAAAAGCTAGTTTTACTCAGGTCAATTTTGTCACAAATGTATAATGTTTGTTACCAGGAAAAGTTGTCACTATTTGATTTGTCTTATAAACGAAAAAAACTCGTCACGAATAAAGTGTACACATGTAGCTTGTATTCGTTAAAAGTGTTGTATAAAGTTTTTGAAGTGTTGCCTAAACTGGTGTTGCGTAAGTAATATTCATATGCAACATATATTGTTTGTGTTGTGAAAAATGAAAAAAATGTTACCTATGACTTTATACAACACCACCTATAGAGGACACTACCAAAAGTGTTGCATATTATATATGCAACACTTTTCACAGTTTATGCAACACAGTTTACGTGTTGCGAAAAGTCTCTTTTCCTGTAGTGGGCCTTCAAGATCGCGGTCGCGATCTTTGACTTCTAGGACGCGATCTTCAGCGAGTCTTCACGATGGGAAGTTCCGCCTGTGATCTTTGGCTTCTAGGCCACGATCTTTGATCATTGCCCATTTTCTACACTTGTGACCTTGTTTTGTATTTAATTTGCACATATTTACTAATACACCCTATAATCACATCAAAATCCAATAGGAACGAAATAAGAATGTATTTGACAATGTTTAAACGCTTGAACACATGAATTGACACAAAACATACCTAAGATGGAGGGTAAATAACACCAATTTTGGTGTTATCAATAATAACAGCATTTACAAGTACGTAAAAACATTGTCGTTTAAGCATAAATCATAATATCTCGTAAAGACAAAAATTCACGTTCCGACTAATTGGTCGGGCTCAAAGCAAGTTTAACTAATAGTAACAGTACGGTTATTGTGGTCCATATACGTGGCTTGGCAACACCTAAAGCTAAAAGGAACTAAAGTTCAGTGTATAACATATGAGACAACGGACTTGCCCACTTAGATTGAATGCATCATGTTAAAGTGCTCATACCATCTCGCAAAACCTGTGACCCACATCACAAGCTGCAAAAACAAAAGCAAAGTTTTTTGTCCGTAATCCGATTTCATGTGAACCCTTCTACATCGATTTCACTGAGCATCAAACTATAAAGAACCACATGATCATAATTATGCGTACATATATCGTCCCTTCTAATTGGACTTCCCCCTTGTGAACTTGGTCTAATCAGGTGGCAGCAAGAAAGAATGCCGTCAATTGAAGCTCTGGCGATGGCCGGAGCAGATTACTTGGAGTGTGGAATCAGCCTCGTGGAGAGGGATCGAAGAGAAACGCCGCAGTATCTCTTGGCAGAGGAAAATCCAAAGAGAAGCAGAGAGGTCAAGCTGTCGTCGGCTCCTTCTCGGCAACTGCGGGCGAAGGGTAAGCCGCCGGTGGCTACTTCCGATCACATGTATGTGGCTAAAGGATAATTTAAGTCTGTGTTACTGTACAATTAACTAAAACATGTTCAGCAATGATGAGTGAAGTCGAAGGGTTGTTTCATTTCGAATGTTCTAGCTAGTCAGCAAATGGAAAAGTTAAGAGGAAACAATTATTATGTATGTTGTCGTATCTTCCGATTGTTCTGTATATATGTTGTGTAGCCAAAGTTATGTACTGACGTAGAATTCCTTTTCTTAATCTTATTTGAGAATAGCCCGTGTGTGATTGAATGTGTTATTAACTGTCTGTATGCTTTTACGCGCGGGAGGGGTTACGGTGCTAATTGTACAATAGTTAGCACCGTCCTAACCAAGGGAAAAATTACTACTAGTTTAAATTAGTAGTGATTTAGCTTAGATTTTGTATTGATTTTATAATAATCTGTAGTGATTTTTGCTAGTTATCACGGTGCTAACCCTTATAGGGATTAGCACCTAATCCCATCCCCTTTTACGCTGGTACTTTCGACGTACTATGATTTTTTTTTATGGTTACTACTATAAAAATTTGCAAGTAAGGTAACTTAGAACTTTTTTCTATATAGTAGGTTTCACAAATTGCATTCCATAAAATACAATAATCATTACGTAATTGTTACGTAACGTGTGCTTATCTAACGTAACAGTTGTAAGAAAAATCATTGCAGAAGCCTTACGTACGTAATGGACTGTGTTTTTACGTGATGGATATTAACCTTGCATTACGTAAAGTGAAAAGTCATTATGCACGGAAGCCTTACATAATGCTTCTGTTTTAACTATTACAGTGAAAAATAAATATCATTATGTATTTACGTAATTGATGCGTATATTACGTAACAGTTGTAAAGTGTAATTACAGAAGCCTTATGTACAAGTGCAATTAACCTCGCGTTACGTAAAGTGCTAAGTCATTACGGAAGTCTTAACCCTTATGTAACGCTCACCACAAGAAAACAGTCGTGTAGTGTCGGTTATGTATTAATGTTTTGTGTTAGTTTTACCCGACACTAAAAAAAATCGTGTCGGATAAGTGAACCGACATGAAACCTGCCGACACTAATCGAATAATTTGTGTTGGTTTTGCGCAACCGCCAGAGTAAACGACACAATTCTATTTTGAATTACTTATTTTGTGTCGGATAATCAAACACTAATTATTTATAGGAAAATTATATTTTCTGAATTAAATTAATTATTTGTATTGATTTAAACCGAGTCAAACTAACCGAACCAAAATTGTTTGATTTTTTTCTTAAAATTTAGCTTGTTGACGGAGACACTAAGCTCTCTCGTCAACGTCGTCAGCTATCCGCTCCAGTCCGAAATTTCGTTGTTTGTTCTGCGTTCTCCGTGTTTTGCATCACATAGAAAGAAGGAGAAGGAGTCTTCCTCTCCCTGCCCGGATCATTTCCAAACCCTAAACTGGAACCCCCAAAATCTCAGTTTGTCTCCCTCTTCCCCCATCTTCCTCCGCCATCCCCTGTCTCCTAGGCGATTCAAATTGGGATTGATGGCGGCGATTCAGTCCCAGTGGCTCCCTTCTCTTTCCCCCAAACCCCATAATCGAAACCGTTCACATATAATAAAACCGGAAACACATAAATTGAAACCCTCCAAATGCATAAAACGCACTCTCATGGTGCACTCGACTGAAAGAGTCAGAGATGATGGCGAACATCGATGGTAGCAGATGGTGAGATGAGGGAAGTGAGGCGGTTGAAAAGTTGTTGGCGGGATGTGTAGTTAGAACGATTCATTTGGCATTGTTGGTGGGAGTCCATCATATGACGCCTCGTCGTTTCCGGCGTGAGGCCGCGCACATCCATTGCCACTCGCGCGCATCGTGTGTAGAATTACCTTAGACTTTCGTCGTCTATCTGCCTAACATCTTGATAAAGCACCATGGGTGCTTCGTTTGATCAGAATATTCAGCTCAAACCCTCAAACGAAAATTAAAACGAATAGTTAGCATTATTTCCACAATCGAGGTGATTAATCAATTGATAATAGAACTTGCTAAACGATTCGGGAATCCACTCATAATAGCTTCACAAGGTTCTTGTAATTATCTAAGGAATCCACTTGAAGCTAATGACAATGGGTAAACTCTTGAGACACAACTCAAGAACTCAAACGCACGGTTTGTATTCAATTCAATCAACTCTGCCTTTACAACGAAAACTAGAAGGCTTTTATAGCGAAAGAAAACCTTATACAAATATAAAATAACAAGGAAACAATTAAGGTAAAAACCTACTCTAAAAAGGACCTAAAACTCGGCCAAAAAATCTCTTTCTTTAAGCACAAGTAAGCTGTCTTTTAGCACAAGCAAACTGCCAGAAAACAGTTTTTGTACTAACTTCGTGCCTTTCGTTCGAGGCCTTCCAGATCTCCAATCCTTCATCCAATTCCTTCCCTTTGTAGATAAAAATACTTACTTTCATTTTGTGGAAGCCTTTGGACTTGAATAAGATCCATGCTCCTCGAATTGAGTTCAAAAGTCAGCTTCACAAAAACAGTTTCCAGACTTGGCCATTTTCAAGAAGTTTTCTGCTTTCCAAATATCAACTTTGGACGTATGTAAAATGGTCTTAATGGATTCATCTGGATCCAAAAAGCATACCATTGAAAAGATGGCAACTTTATCTTTAAAATAAGCTATCAAACTCGAATTATCATCTAGCCAATTGAGAGAACCAAGCCTCCAAATTATGATACCTGAAACTGTTCCAACACTAAACCAAATTCTGCCCTTCTTCTTCCCAACGTTGATAGCTTCTTCGTCAAGTAATTTAAACATGTAGAGTTGGCCATTTGGGATCATATCACATCTACCAAGGCTTTCGATTGAAGAGGTCTTCTTTTATGGGATGTGAACTTAGTTGTGAAGAGGAAAATGAACTCCTCGAACGTTCAAATGATTTTGTTGGGAAGCTGATAATACCAGTCAAGGCATATACCTGCGAAAGTCAATGGAAATGTGCGACGGAGGACACGTTTTAGTATGTTTGCAGTTGCATCTGTCAATGCAGTCAAAATCGCGCTTTAAAACTTTAAAACTTACGATTTTAAATTTCTAAGTCCTGAAAACGCTTTCGTTTCCATATAAAATCTTTATTGTTTAAAATCAGGACTAAATGCGCTTTAAAGCTTAAAAGCTTACGCTTTTACGCTTCTGGTTCACCAAAATGCTTTAATCTTTTACGCTTCTAGTTCACTAAATGAGTATTCTATTTATGAAAATAATTATAAAAGGTATATTTTAAAGGTAAATCACAAAAATATGATATATTTGAGATTAAAAGATACATATCAGGTACTTGGTTCAATAGAGTAATCTAATTCACCAACTAAGCTCTTCCCAAATTCACTAGTATATAGGGGAAGGTTTATTGTTAAGATATATGTTTATCGTTAAACGCTTTACGCTTTCCTCCTTGATCAGCATCATGTCGCGGTTGTGCGATTCGTTAAACAACCTTTGACTAGTAATAACCTTCAACGGGGTCATTTCATCTGGGACGGTGACGCCATGTTGCTTTTAGTAGTTGTTGTTCATTTCTCTGACATACTCACCCCATCGTGCGCGCCAATTGTTTGAGTCTAGTTGAGTGTAGGAGGTAGACACTAGAGAAAGTTTGGGCTCGAGAATGAACGAGATGATTGAGCGTGGAACGAGACTTGGGTGGTAAATCTTATATTTAGAGAGAAAAGTTTGTAACATAGAGAGAGTGTAATTTGCCGATCCTTTTCTCTTTAAAGTAAATGCTCTATTTATAGCCTTTACATCGATAGGTGGGCATTAAATACGAAGTGACACTATGTTAAACAGTGACGCGCGCGACTGAGTTACTTTGGTTTTTGCACACTCCAACTAGTGTATGAGGACTGTGCGTAAGGAGTTAGTCATATCCCCAACAGCTTTTATATAGGGATGGACAATGAGTGGCCAAACCACTAAACCCACCCGAAATTTGCCTAATTATAACCCACTCAATATGTGGTCGAGTCGATATGGCGTGTGACTGTGGATCATTAGCCCGCAAAATCACCGAATATATTGTGCCACTAATTTATATCTTATAATGAAAAACAGATTTGTATCTCAAAATATGAATTAGTGCAATTGAATAAAAATTTTTAAAGATTTTTGTTTTATTTACCATATGAATTATATGTCGATTATTGTAAAAATATGATAACTAACCATAAAATATTATTATTCACAAACGAGATGATTGATGTTAGATTATGCAGTAACTTACTAATAATAATTGTCGTTTCTCTTGAACTTTGTAGCTTAATTTGATATTTAATTAGTTTTTTGTAAGCTTTTATAGTTCATAAATGTTTTATTTATTAAATTAATTATTTTAACCTGTCAAAGCTGTCAAAACGTAGCCACCGTCCACTATTACCACTTAACCACCCATAATGATACAATGGGTGGGTGTGGATCATTTGTCAGCACAACCAAAATCTTGAGTGGGTGGAGTTTAACCAAAAACCGCTCAACTGTACATTGGCGTTGGGTCGTCCTTGTGCCGGAATGGCACGTGCACGTTTTAAGCCTGTTTATCTTGTGTTGTGCAAGCCCATTTTACAAATTTGTTAGGCCTGACACAGTCCAAGCACGGTTTGAATTATGTTGTGCCTACTCGTGCGCTTGTCGTGCTCACATTGTGCTTAGAAAATGAAAAAAAAGTGAAAATGAGAAAATTTTGTGGGAAATGAAAGTATTAATTGAGAATATTTGAAAAATGTAACAAATAAGGTGGAGAAGAAAATTGCAAGCATCGCATGTTTTGATTTGGCCTCCGCATATTTTTAAAAAAATTTCGATCATTCTTATAATTTATGGTAGCAATTACATATAATATCTTTATGATTACTTTTAACAATAACAAATAATTATTTTATAATTGTATTTTGTAATATTTGAACTTATAATTCTCTTTATATTTAATTTATAAAAAAAAAATTTGTTGATGCCATGTCGTGTCTATACTTAATAAGGTCTAAAAAACATTAAATCCGACACAACGCACTTGTAAATCATGTCATGTCAACTTGATCCATGTATTTTATGTCCATACTCGTACTCGTATGTGCTCGAATCATGTCGTGCCGGGCCGGCGTGGTGCCCATGTACGCGCTCAACTCACCCATTCCATTTCCCATCCATGCTTCTATAACTTTCTGAAGAAATTGAT